CAACAAGGAGGTTTTATCCTCTGCTTACCAACTCTTTCCACTACTTGCCATGAGAGGGCAAAAAAACCACACCAGAGCCCGCTTTGACAGTTAAGGGCAAATTCACTGAGAGTTGTTCTTAAACCTAGAGTCACTCCCCTTCACCTCCCCACACCCCGCCCCCCAAGTCCGGCTCACAGTATGATCTGGCAGCCTATTAGCTTATCACAGAAAAGCACAATCAGAATCCATTCATCCTGTTGCTAATTACAACATTTCAAAATGTTCTTTACAACCGGGTAGCTTACTGCTGCATTTGAAAATTGAGTCTGGAGAACACAGGCATTCCCAAGCACCTCTAGAGGATTAGCCAGACGCAAGCTGGGGCTGCGCAATGGACAGGGAGAAAATACAGCCGTGGAAAGGCTGCGCAATCCACGGCGGTGATAAGGTATTTCCGTCAAGTGTGACTAACACCTACAAACGTACAATCTGAAAATAACTCTGGTGGAGGTGCCAGTGGAAAGGGGTTAATGGAAATAATGTTTTCATTTGGAACAATATAAATCCACAACTGGCATTCCATTGGCCCATGACCTCCCCTTCCCCAATCCCTGTTCAAGTCATTTGCTAGTGTAATTGAAACCTTCTTTGAGAGTCTTTAGATTTCATTTCATGTTTTGGGGACAACGCAGCTAAAAGACATTTGCCATCCATCTTTCTTAACATTCCTAATCTAAATAGAAGACTCAAATCCAAGACTGTGCCTTTGATGGATCACTCACCTCCCTGTACAGTAGAATTTAAAAGGTCCTATTACTGCGCTCGGAACCCTCACAGAAAACACACATTCACACTCATTTTCCTTCCTACCTCCTACTGAACGGCATAGATTCATTTCTTTAAATGTGCTTTGAAAGGAAGGGGATTGCAACTAAAAAAAAATTATTTTTTTAAACAAAAGAACAGGGAAGAAACAAATGGCACATTAAATGCAGGTGGGAAAAAGAGGATCACAACATGACAGGCTAAAAATACCGAATTGTATAAAAAGAATTTGCTGCTCCTGAATCAAACATGGAAGATTTGTCTCCGAGCTTTTCTTGTGTGGGAAGCCTCTTAAGTTAGGTCTCTGTTAATGTCTCTCCCAGCTAAAATGAGCAGTGGAGATTAGTGCTGACTAGCCAATGTCATCAACATGACCCTTCTAAGGGAAGCGCTTCTAAGGATCACCTCAATAATTCGCTTACACATTTTCAAAACTGTTTTATATTGACTGTTTACCTTAGAATGTATACAAAGTCTATTTGATATAAGCCTGGATAATTTGTTATTGTTTATGGGTAGGAAAACGTAAAAGATTAAAGAAAAATAGACACCTTGAGCATACAAACTGCTAATAATTGACTGTATCAAAAATTTACACAACTAACCAGAAAACTTGCAAATATACATAAATAAAGCATTGATTTTACATGCATTTGGCCGAGATCATGTGGTCAGCTGTTTCAAGATGGCCTCCTTTTCATATGCATGCCTGATTACTTTGGTTTATAAGAGGCACAACAGGCAAGCAACAAAATCAGAAGCAAAGCTGGTTGGTAGACCCCTCCTCACTAATTCTATCGTCTCTGTGTTATATAACACTCCATATCTGTCTCTGTACTGAGACTGCCTATAAAAGAAAAGGATAAAACTGGGCACGCTCAGTTATTAAGACTACATCCGATACCTCTAATGAAATTACCTGCTAGAATGAAAAAAGCAACTGAGAAGTTTGTTACTGCCTTTAATTCTGCAAATCCAGACCGTTGCTGGAGCACCACTACAAGTGAGCTACTTGGCAGGTCATTAAGGCATTTGGGACTAACTTCTGTGAGGCCATCATTCCATAAACCCCATTTTATAAACAACAAGACACAGATGCAACCATATCACATGGGCAGTGGTCACAACCTCCAAATATAACAAAGAAAGCATAGCTATTCCATCATGACTCAAAGTCATGTTATGTGGAGTGAAGGCTTATCTTCGTCTTTTATAGGAAACATTCTATGCCTTAGTATTTGAAAGGATGCAATCCAGAGCTTGATTCTTGAAAAGAGCACATACTTTCTATATCTATCATTCAAAGATGTTTGCAAAGTTAAACCTCAGGGGTAGGAAATAATTAAAGCCGGAGGCAAAAATCTAAGGCTGCCTGCAATAATCAAGTGTTGCCTTTCAGGTCCTGAGAAGTACACTGAGGAAAGTGAGAAAGGGGGAAGGGAAGGAGAAGAGTAAGAAGAGAGATATCTAAGAGAATGAAACAAGGTAGTAATTTTAACTCGGAGAATAAATCATCCCTTTTAACAAATGATCAACTTGCAGCAGTATGTGTTCAGGATTGTTTCATCTAAAATGGTCTCCTCTACATTTTTATCATGTAATATGGACCTCGGAAAGCATCGGACTCATCTACATATACCAAGAACAAAACTAATAAATCAGAATTGGGGGAAAATAACAACCTCAAATTGAAAACAAGTGGAAGTAAATGGACACAAATGTGCTTTAAGTTAATACCTAACCTCTAGGGAGAAGAAAGAGAAAGAACCAAAGTGAGAATTCCAGCATTTCACTCGATATTCTCATTCAGGGGAGGCATACGGCAAATAGACCCTAGGCTTTAAGGTGCTGGGTTTCTATTTTGACGTGGGTAAAGCAATTCTGAGCCTATCACTAGATGTGATACAAGGTTGGATAAATGTGTAAGGAGCTGGGGATTTCACCGAGGAAGCGGAGTAACACCCTGAAGAGAAGCTGGAGCGGTGACTTGCAGTTTCCAGCACATGCTGCTATTGCAAGAGAGAGACCCAAGTGCCAACACTCAAAGCCAGAAGCTCACAAATGCTCGTAACTCCGGCTCCTGCAAATCCAACACTCTCTTCAGAACCCTGAGAGCACTTGCATTCACATGCACAAATCCACACATAATTAAAAATAAAACTAAACAAAAATAAATCTTAAAACCTAGAGAGAAAAACCAATCCCTATAGAGATAACTTGGACTAGAAGTACTAGTGTGGATTTATGATTCCTAAAATGTGTGTTTGTGTGTGTATGCATACATTATTTTTTCTGACTCCTAAAGAAGCCTAGATGGGAACCCCCAGTTAGTAACATCTAGTACCCTAATAATGATTTCTAATACTGCTGTCCTTTAAGAGGAACCAGAATTCCTCAGAGAATGTTTCATTGCAAAGCCATAACAGATGAGCCACAAAATGAGTCTAAGACATTTCATGCCAAGAGAAAGAAGTTACACTTCCAAGAAAGGCAGGAGCAAGTCAAAAAGGAAACGAAAACCAAGGCAAATGGGTTCCTACTGCTTCAGTCTGGAGCAGTCTGACTACCTAAATAATTTTAGCAGCATTAATATAAATCATTAAAAATGGGGTCTACTGACAGATGGTGGCACACGCTTGTATTTCCCCCCATATATATATAGGAGGCTGAGGCAGGAAGATATTCTGGGTACAAAATGAGACACCATATCAAAAAAAAAAGGGCAAAAATGATGTGTGGGTGTGGGCACCCATGTGTATCAACGCACACATGTGTGCATGTATGTGTATTGTGAGGGTACATGTGTGTCCTTTACGTCAATATGTGTCCTGTATGTCCTCAATACCAAAGAATGGTTGCTATTGACTAATAAATGCTGGTAAGTGCTAAGGTTGCAAAACCACTGCAGGAAAGACAAGTTCAAGCAAGGACCATGGATGAATGTCGTATCTAAAGAGGAAAATCTTAATGGAATGATATATTTACATGTGTTTACTCACCTGTTGTGAGAAAATATATTCAATATACAGTGAGAAATCAAACGAGGCCTTGACCAGATACACAAAATTAATATCGCCAACACAATGCACAAAGACACTATGATCTCTTGGCATGGTACTTTTAGAAAGATAATTCCACTTAAGCGTTACTGTGACCAGGAGTACAGACTTGACCTGTTCAGACTGCAACATCAGATAAACCCAAACGGGGACTTTCTGCACAAAAGAAGTGGGAAGCTGACTCTGACAGACAGACTCAAACATGGAAACTGTGAAGACAAACTACCTGGCTCAGTGTGTTATTCCAGACTGGAGCTTATGCTGTACAGGACATTATGAGATCAAGCGGGGAAATTCTATCACGTCTACGCTTAAGCACCTATATCTAATCATTGTGTTATAAGCGAGTGAGGAAATATTGCTCTTTGGCAATATACTTTGAAGTATTTGAAGGCGAAGGGGCTTGATGTGCGCACCTTATTTTCAAATGGTTCACAGGAGGGGTTTACATTAAAAGAGAAATAGGAAGAGAGGAAGAAGCTGGAGAGGACAAGGCAAGGGGCAGCAATGCCTTGACAGGTGAGGCAATGACAGTGAAATACTGACATTCTCTGTGCTACGGCTTTCCCGGTTAAAACACTGCTTCCAACACAAAGTTTTGTTGTGTCTTTATGTCACCTTCCGCGGGACCTAGAGACTTTGAAATAATATTTACAGTATTGCCAGCTTCAACCTTGTTTCTGTGAGCATTGCATATGTGTCCAGTAAATGTACACAATGACATTTGTCACAGTACTGTTAATGAGAACAAAAAGTCTGAAAGCACATGTATTCTTAACTAGCACAATGGTTATCTCGACTGTCTCGTGTGAATTCAACAAAACAACAAGGTCTTTAAATGTGTTTAGAAAGAACTGACTACAGTGGGAAACACAATATATGGTCAAGGAGAAAACAACACTGTTTGGATCAATGGCATTTGCAATATGACCATGATTAATCACGGAGAAATCTAGAAAGAAATTCAGGAAAATATCAACACTGGATACCCCCTTCAGGAAATGGTTTGTGAGCACTTTCCCCTTCTTTCTGTACTCTAAACATATAATGTTACAATTAAAAAAATCAACTTCCTCCTAAAATATCAACTCAAAGTAAATAGGAAGAAGCTCCTGCTTGCTAGATAAGCAGCGGCACTGTGACTGCCCAGCTGTCTAGAGTTACTTGGTCCCAACAATGGGAAACAAAGCATAGAAAGAAGCCACATTAGGAAGCTGACTTCTCCTCAGGGCCGAAGATGTGGACTTCACATTCACAGGTACTGGCGCTTCCCTCCTCTTCATTCTTTTCCTTTATTTTTGATTTTCCCAAAGACTTGAGGAAAAAAACACTGCATTTGCATCTACATCGTCTCTTCCTACTCCAACTCTTCTCTTCCCCATCCACTCCCTCTCTTCTTCTTCTATAATTATTGTTATATTTTGTTCACAACCATCCCAAACACACACACACACACACACACACACACACACACAAATCTTCTGAGTCCAGCTAGTATTCCCTTATTTGAATGTGTCTGGAGCTAAACACACTTGGGGTGATCTCCTAAACAAACAAACAAACAAAGAACAAAAAAAAAAACGGTTTATTCCCGTCTTCTGCAAGCACAGATATGATGTGGGAGTGATTTCTTACTAATAAAGAAACTGCCTAGGCCCATTTGATAGGCCAACCCTTAGGTGGGTGGAGAAAACAGAAGAGAATTCTGGGAGAAAGCAGCTTAGTGAAGGAGTCGCCATGATTCTCCCGCTCCAGACAGACGCAGGTTAAGATCCTCCCTGGTAAGCCAGCTCGTGGGCTACACAGAATATTAGAAATGGGTTAGAACAATATGTAAGAGCTAGCCAATAAGAAGCTGGAACTAGCCGAGCCAGGCAGTGTTTGAAAGAATACAGTTTCCGTGTAATTATTTCGGGGCATAAGCTAGCCATGCGGGCGGCCGGGTGCCGGGGACGCAGCCCCGCCGCTCTTATTTCAACACAGATAGCTTGTAACTCTTCACCTAAGGGTGGGGCCTTAGGAAATTTTCCTCCTCCCATGTTGGCAGGTTGGCTGGTGTGGCCTTCACAGTTGTAAGCATCCTGTTAAGAGTTCACATGTGCCGCATCCCTGTCCTGTCCAGAAAGTGCTATCATACAATCATCCCAGTCCTGGGGCTTTGACATCTAGGCTATCCGGAGACAATAAGATGTCACAAGACATCTTAAGAAGGGGGAAGAACAGCAGGGTGCTCATGAAGGAGCAGACATGGCGCTCTTCAGGTCAAGCTGAACTATACTGTCTTACTAAAAAGAGCCATGAGTACCTGTCTCAACAAAGAGTTCACTCATTGTGACATTCAGTGAGAGGAAAGAAGGGGCAAGGGGACAAAAAGAGGAAGGTAGGATCTGAAGGGGAGACAGAGGGGAAGAATCACTCCTTAAACTAGGTGGTAAAGGCCAGGTGTAAAGGTTTGGTTAACAGAAAGGAAAACTGCAACAGGCCCCCACTGTCACTGCCAAAACAGCCAGGCGCCATGTGTGACGAAACAAAAGGAAGTTGATAGATTAAATAATTGCTACAGTCCAGTTCCTGTTGAAGACACATACACACCAGTGCAAGCATTTAATTATATTTATTTCTTAATGTACTCTGGTTTGAGTAATCTTCAACTTCAACCGAATCTCATAAACTCAGCCAATGAAATAATTAAAATTCCTTTGCCAACTTGATTTGGACGAAAAAGTTAAATGCTTCATTTAAAATTTATGTGAGGCACATTTATAAGAATATACTAATTTCTCATTCAGATTTCAAATTGAATCCATTTAATGACTGCCGATAACAAAGCAATAGGAATGCATAGAACAAGTCATACAATTGACAATTACCCAAAGTTCCTGTCAGGTTTTATGAATCAACAATTGTCTCCAAACTTGTAAAAGAAACCAGTGTGCATTAGTGTCTAAAAATCATACAACCTGTCTGCGCTATGCTATGAAAAAAATGAGTACAATTAGACATACAATTTAGAGAATTCATCAATCTGAATGAACAAAAATAAAGAACTCCTCTATTAACCCGTGTTCCTTTTGAAGGCAACACAACTCTCAGGCTGTGTAGTTTACTGCTGTTTCTTCTGTGTATTCATGTTCTTTATCAGCAAAATGGTTACAATGGTCTTTCAGACTTGAGTGATGAATGGCAAAGCAACCCAGCTCCATTCTGAAACATGAATGGCCTTGGAAAACAGCACCATAAACCAACTGCAATGGTTATGCCAGAGAAGAAACAGCCGCTGACATTAGCAGCTTCTAAAATGACACAGGCAATGGAAGAAGAAAAAGGAGAAAAAAGGTAAAAGGGAAGGAGGAAGATGGGAGAAATCCAGACATTTGCACATCCATTAACAATTAGCTTAAACCCCCATCACTATTACTGTTTTCCCCCGAAGCACGGTGTCCTTATGACAAGGCAGACAAATAATTTTGACAAATGACAAACAAATCTCATTCCTGTTTAATGTTTCCCTTTCCACACTTAGCTTACATATGCACAACTTCTTTTATAGCTATGCACATTTTGACCTAAACAGTCAGAAGAATCTATCCTGTTGTAGCTGCTGGGGAAGCCAAGTGAAAAGCATGTCCCCAAGCTCTTGGACAGGAGGAGTGATCAGAAACCCTGCAGCAAAGTAATCAGGTGTCTGGGTATTGGCTTGTCTACAAAAAGAAAACCCAAATAACACAAACGAAATCTGATTTTTTAAAAATCAAGAGAAATAAGTAGAATGGCTCTTCTAACATCAGTCTCGTTGGGGCTACTACTGAGTGCTCACCTTTCCCCCTAGCTCCCCAGTCCCTCTTACCCTGTTTTATTTTCCCACAGATCTCATCTCCCATAAAATACGGAGTAGTTTATCCTTATATTATTATAACATTTGGTCATTGCTTACCTCCTCCCAACCACAGAAGTTCTCTGGGAGGAGGAGTTTGTGAATACACCCCAATGCCAGACACACAGTAGATAATAAATGTTTGTTAAATGAACAGACCATTTAGCAAACTAAGGATTACTCAAAGAGCTGGAAAGACCAAAGTTAGGCACAGAATTCTTAAATATCATGATAGAATAAATAAACAGCTATTATCTTCACTCTCAAAAGTCCATTTACAGTACATGAACACACACACACACATGCACAAAGGAAATTCTTAACCATTGATTTATAATTGAGTACAGGACTTAAGCAGTCATAAGAAGAGAAAATGGTTAATAAATACTTAAGGAAAATAACTTCCCCAATAATATAATCAATAACAAACACAGATTAAAATAAAATTACATTTCCCCTGTACATTTATCATATACTTTTTAAAAAATGAAAATTCCCAAACACAGCAACAGCAAAGAACAGCTATTCCCAGTCAAAAGTAAAATTAAAACAATCATCCTAGCCCCACCAGGAAGATACAGTAAAAGATCAGGGTCATCCTGGGCTACATAGTGAGTTGGAGTCCAGCCTAAATACCGGAGATCTTGACTCAAAACAACATCAAAACATTTTAGACAATGCCATTTGGAATCAAACAGTAATCTAAGGCAAGATAATGTCCTTATCTCTAACCCACGTATTTGGATAAGGAAACCTTACTTTCAGAAATCTTTGAATTATAGGCAAAAATCAAACATAAAGATGTTCAACATAGCATTCTTTACAGGAACAAAATTTGGAGGAAATGTACAGGTTTAAAAAGTAAAGAAGTAGTAGAATCAATTAATACACATCAGGAAATTAATGATATGCCCTTCAGATGTATGCCTAGAGCACTGCTGCAGAGATGGGTAATTCTGAACACTGCAATGTTAAATGAACAAAAGTGAAATCTGATCACAGCCAGTGTATGGAAAGTAGAAATGTTCCTGTCATAGAACAAGGCAGTGCAAGTCTCAAAAGTAGGCACAGGGCAATCAAGAACTCAAAGTCTTGGCTGAGCAGTGGTGGTGCAATGCCCATCAACTCCGGAGGCAGAGGTCTGGCAATCTCTGTAAGTTCAAGGCCAGTCTTTTTTACAAATCAAGTTCCAGGGCAGCCAGGGCTACAGAGTGGCAGCCATTTTTGTTTGTTTTTGTTTTCCCTTTCTAAAAAGAGAATTCAAGGATATTCTTACCTATATAAAGAGTTAAAGGATGCCTGAGCGATGAGATATTTTTATGCATTTGGTTTTTATTAAAGTAACATGTTTATTTTTATAATCAGAAAAAATTGGAGATTTCATAATTTAGGATAAAATATACTCTCAAAGTTGTCATTATTATCAAGAGTAGGAATAAAATATTAGAAAATAAAGTCTTAGGGAGCAAATATTAACAATAGCTGAAAAAAAATAGACTTGTTCTAAGAAAGAGAAAACTCCATTCCCCTTAAATTAAAAGTAACAGAAAGTAAGAGACAGTTCTAAACAGCTTCACGGGGTCCATTTTATGCAGAATCAAATTATTAAGATTTTCTTTTCAAATTCAATATAAAATCTAGTAGGAAATTTGCAGACAGGGAATCTTACTAGTTTCAGTTCCTAAGCAACACATCCATGGAAGAAGAATGAAATGAAAAGTGGGGTGTGCACTGCGCAGAGGCTCAGTGGGGAAAGGGCTCTAGCAAGGTCCAGAGCACAATCCCCAGAACCTACATAAAAAGTCCAGGCATGGCAACGTGTGAGCCTGTAACCCCAGTGCTAGTGAGACAGAGAAGAACAGATCTCTGGGGTCTCACTGGCCAGTCAGGCCAGCTCTTCGTGCCAAGAAAGACATCCTGTTTCAAAATATGGCAGCATTCCTGAGGGAGGACAGCAGTCTACTCCCTGGTGTCAACACACTCACGCCTGCATATGCCTAAACACACAAAGCAAAAAGGAAAACTAAAAGCATTTACATCGCTAGCTCCTTCTTTTACCTTGACGATAAACTAGAAATCAATGATAAAAATTTGACTTTTCAGCGATCAGTCAGTAATAGAGTCACCAGATCATCCATGAGGCAAAGACAAAACTTGATAGGGAGGGGGCAAGGAAAGGAGAGAGAGGAGGCAGGAGGGAGAACAAAATGCTTTAGGGAGGGAGAAGAAAATCCTAGCAAGCTCAGGGAGGCTCTTTTCCACACAGGCAGTCCTTCAGAAGGCTCTAAGCAAATGCAAACAACACAGAATGGTGGAGGTGCTCTGAGATCCAGATCTGGACTTAACATCTGCACATGCTCACTGGAGGCCACAAGGCAGCATCAACAAACGCAAGCACATCCTCTGCCACCATCCGACACTACAGCTTCACGGAATTACCTCGAGCTCCGTCTAAATCAAGTTTTCAGGGCTAGCCATAGATTTGGTAAAAGAGAATGTGAAGCAAAAGTAAGAAAATTCAAGCAAACCTATTACTTTCCTTTTAAGCTCAAATATATTTCTTAAGGCTAAACATCTGAAGCAAGACACTCAGATTCCAACACTTCTCTTTATAACCTTTGCTTTGTATCTAGCTCCAGAGGGAAAATTGTGTTTACAAGAACCACGAGACACGTGAAAAGCAATAACCAAGATAAATGAAAACCGGCTGCGCTAAGTTTTAGTCAGAACTTTATTGCAAAGGACTTGGTTTATGAGATGGAGAAATCTACTTGTTCTCATCTCCTCTAGCGTTAGTTACACTCTGAAAAACAGAACACGAGTAAACTGTGCTTTTAATGCCGTCACATCGTTTATGAAGAGCTTAAAGAGACAATTTGCATGGAAGCAGAGCACACTACAGAGAGG